ACAGTGATGTGCTCACCAGATTGTACTCCCGAGTTTAATCTAGCTGAAGAATGGTTTGAGGTGAAAGGCTGTGAGCTGCTGGAGGGCACAGGAGAAAGCTTCACTGGTGCTTCCAATGAAAGGTCTGTGGCTTCTTCCGCAGAGGTGCAAGAGGAGCTGATGACTGAAGGGGCTGGGCCCTTGCAGGACGAGTGTATTTGGATGCAGTTGGTGCTTACAGAAGACAAGAGGGAATGGGTTGCAAATAAGATTAGAAACCTGTGCACGCTAAGATTACATACACAGTGGTAGTAATGGGGGAGCAGTGTAGCATATCCCAAAGGATCATACTTAGATGCTGAGACATGGGTCTCAGTGTCACTACATAAATGGCCTCAATCCTCTCCCGTGAGTTCAAGGTTTCTCTCCTCATGTGGGATGAAAACAAAAACATCAGACACCCTGCCACTTACCTTGACCCTCTCGGCCCTACTGTGAGCCATTTCCTTCTGGAACAAGACAAGAGGCGGAATTGAGAGAGGTGAAACTGGCTGTCACTTTTAGTGGGGGTGCAGGTGGAGAGAAAGTGGTTAGGAGTCCCAAGTGAAAGAAGGACGTGCAGAGGGCAGCTAGGTTGGTAGTTTGCGAGGAGGGGTTGGATGATAGGTGCTGAGTAGAAATGCTGCATGCAGTGATGGCAATATAGGCCATGAGCTCTGCTGGAGTCAGAGGCAGTAGTGGAGTTAGAGTGAATGTGAGACAGCAGAGAGAAAATGATGGTTCTTACTCTTGCAGCGAGCCTACAGTGCCTGACCTTCTTGTAGTGTTGTTGTGTTCCTCCAGCCTATGGAAACAGCACTGACCCAGGTGGCAACTTCAAACCAACCTGAAGGTGGGGTCAAGAGCCTGGTGATCACCTCTGGTGGTCATGGAGGGAAAGATCAGCCTTGTCTTGACCAGCCTGTTCACCAAAGGACCTTCAGGTTTATGCAGGCAAAGTTGAGAATAAATTTGCTTCTCTCAGACACTGGGAACTGTGCGGCACCGCATAGCGAATGGCAAATCCTGGATTACTGCATTTGAAATGTGCACAACTCGGGTTTAAATATGGCACCCAGAGTGTGAATGTCAGAAGTTTCTGGCACCAGTGAGCACTTTCACCATTGCTGATTGCAAGATACCATGAGGGTACTGCTGGGGAGGTGGAATGAATCTTTAATGAGGTGAGCAGTGGAGAACTGAATGAGAGAAGAGGCTCGTGAAGGGAACCCTCAATGAGGCTCCCCGAGATTGACAGCCAAAATATTTGAACATTAAACCAATAGTTACTTAATAACATTGAAAGAGTCGACTACTAAAGTTTTACAGAATGAAAGAACAAAATTTTTTACTACTACCCTGAGAGAAAAAAATAAAGCCACAACGTTAAACACACACACAAGCACAGATAATATGTTTAAAAGGGAAAATTCCTGGTACAGTCAGGGAGAATAAAGGTTAACTGTTAACAAGGCCTGAGAATCCTTGAAGTGTGAGATTCTTATTTTGAGACTGCAATTGTTTAATGTTTGACTTGTATCCTATGTAGTGGTAGAATCTAGGGTTATCTTTGAGTTCTGGTTAATAGTTACTTTTCCACTTTGCTTTTCCAGCAAATTTTGGATTCTGAGCTGAAGAGAAGAAATGGGCAGAGAGAGGGAAAAAGCCAAGTTTTTGTTTACAATCTCTTTTTCTTATCTCTGCTCTGCTGCTCAAGAGCAACTTTTGAAATATAATTTCACATGTATTCCTGAGTTTAGTTCCATTGACTTTCCATTCTGGATAATTGACAAACAAGCCTTTAACCTTCCAACATGTGAAAATATCATACAGGTATGAACTAAAGAAGGAAATACAAATGTCTTGACACTGACTCCATTGCTGATTATGATGCCTTTGGATAGAAAGTGGTAATTTCTGTACAACTTTGTTTATTTCACATGGGCCTCATGCAGCTTGCCTCAATCTGTGCTTAGGTGACCATTACAAACATATTACGTAAATGGTTCTTCCATCTTAAAAACCATTGAACTCTTCAGGTAAGGTGTCGGGTAAAATAATCAGACAATGGCAGTTCAAACTCAATCGTCCATATTTATCATTATCATAATCGATTTCCATTAAGTGGATGAATTGGGGATGGTCTCCTTAGAGAGGAGAAAGTTAAGACATTTGATAGAAGTGTTCAATATCATGAAGGGTCTAGGCAGTGTGGATTAGGAGAAATTGTTTCTTTTGGCATGAGTGTTGCAGAACAGAGAAAACATACTTAAGGTGATTGTCAAAAGAACCAGAAATGATGTTAGAAAAAAGTTTCCTTATGCAGCACATGTTTAAAATGTGAAATGCATTGGCTGAGTGTGGTGGAGGCAGATTTAATTATGGTTTTCAAGACCACCTGAAGAAAATAAAATTACAGTGTTATGTGGAAAGGGTAAGGAAATGGGACTAGTTCATATGCTTTTGCAGAGTAATGACATGTATGCTATAGGCCAAACTTTTCCCTCTGTGCAGTACTGATTCCATGATTCAATGGTTCTGAGGTGGGAGTCCAAAGTTAGCAAAACAGAAAATTGCTCCAAGTTGGGAAATTTCAGACGCAGTGGTATGTTTATTTTCTACTACTTAACAAATAGTTCTGCCTCCTTTTTTGAAAAGATCACTTAGTTTACTGAAGGAATTTTACCGAAACCCATCGTAAAATTCGGTTTTAACTCAGCAATTGTGTCTTTGTTTTGTCTTATTTGGTGTTGCTCTGTTCTTTCAACAGCAGATGCGAAGTTCTGATGTAAAATGCAGTCAGGCACATGACAATTGTCCCAAAAGATCTCGGAATTTGGTTGTACCATCAATTTTTCTCTATAGCAATCCATTTCCACACAACAATGAGACAAAAATGGCTGTATAACTCAGGATTCACATCAATATTCAGTGTACATTTTTTAAAAAAGGAGGAATAAATTCTCCTTCATCTTTCAGCCCCATGCATGATTTTCAATATGTAGGTGGCAATGATAATATTGACATGCTGGACTCTGGTTGGAGAGCAAGATTAAGGGGGTATGAGGAATGTCTTTTATATCTCACCCTTCCCCACAATGCATTGCTGCAAAATAGACTCCATTGATTTATTCCTTCACAAATTTCAACAGACTTTCAACTTATGTACACGAATCGAGCATTTTAATGTAAGGCGCGTCATTAATATATGTTTTAATATAGTTATTTTAAAATTGGGATTATGAAATAGTGGTAGATGGGTTTAGTCTGTGTCTCTGAAGGGGTTTAAAGATTAACTTGTAAATATTTAAAACACAGTATTAAAGAGATACTTCCTGGACAGTAATGAGAGTTTGTTTAGGAGAGTTCAGGAGTGAACAAAGTGACCAATGTAGTACTTTCAAATAGAAGATTCTGGAATGTTTCAGGAGGCTTAGCGGAAATAATCATTGATTGGGAAAAAAAGGTTTTGGGCTTCAGTTGGCAGTTTTGCAGAAGTCTTGGCTGAAGCTGGATGTGTAAAGATTTCTGAAGAAGGGTCCTGACCCGAAACGTCAGCTTTCCTGTTCCTGTGATGCTGCCTGGCCTGCCGTGTTCCTTCAGCTCCACACTGGGTTATCTCTGACTCCAGCATCGGCAGTTCTTACTACCTCTCATTGCAATTGAGAGTTCAGTTAAAATGAGGGCTGTATGTTTAGGAAAAATAACAATATAAGTTACAACCAGACCCTGGGCAAAGTTGTCCACTTTGTTTTGGTTTCAGACAGAATATGCCAAACTGTCTCAGGTGAGGTGTTATGGGCGGACTCCCCTTCTTTTTTCACCAACAGCCTCAGTTGAATGCAACAAGGTTAACTTAAGAAAGATCCTTTTCCTTGTCGATTCCTTTCTCCCAAGCTCAAATGAACTTAACGTCATGGAGTCTTACAGATCTACAGCAAGGAAGCAGGCCCTTCGGCTCAACTTTCCCATGCCGCCCCGTATGTTTTTAAATTTATGTTTTGAAGCTAATTCAACCAGACTTCCTTGAATACAACACGAAGTGAGATTTTGTAGTTTTGATTCCTTTCAATAATGATTGAATTGCAACATTCAGAGTGAGAGAGTCCTTTTGTTGTTCTGTCTCTCCTTTGTCTAGCTGCTAACCAGCTATTTCTAATACTCAAGAGCAAGAGAAGATCTTAACCTGGAACATATGTGTGACTAGAGGACTGTTCATCAACAGTGCATTCCATAGCAAGCCAACCTTTGAACGCAGGTTTGTGCACACTAAAATGTTCAGTCACACTAAGATATTCCAAGAGAATGTTAAAACTGGCATTTTAACTCCTATGTGTAATCTTCAAAGTGAAAAACACATTATTTGTCTGCAGTGTGAGACATAGTCCATATGGCGTGTCTTGTTGTTCAGCCCGGGAACATCAACCCTCACTATCATTCGTTATCACAAGGGATCACAGTTTAAACCATTTTGACTTGCCTCTTGCCACCATTTGAAGGATTTTTGCTTGAAGCTCCCTTTGTATGCATACGTGTGACATCTTTCTCTTTCTACTCTCTTTCTCAACACTTTCAAAATCACAATTTAGGATTACAAGTTAAAAATGTCCATGTTACTTTGGGGTTCTGACTTGTGGTCATAACAGTTCACACAAAGTATTAAGCATTTTCCCCTAAAAGACATGGAAACTTAGATTTTGCTCCAGGATATTTAACTGTTTCAGTGACACAAGTCTTGACTTGAAGCGAATTTGGGATCATAAATAAAACTTTGTAGTCAAAACTTAGTTGACATTATTTCTGAAAGAAATTCAAACTAATATGTAAAATGAATGATAAAACTAATCAGGAATTTACACTGTCTCCACAAATACATGATCCATGTGTTTATGGGTGTGTTTACATATATTGCCCTGGAAATTTTGTGACCTCATTCAGTCAGTAGCTTAGTCATGCAGATGAAATATCTTTGAAGCGTTTACCGTGGTATAGCTGTGAGCCACTTTTAGCAGATTCATGCAGCCTTGAGCATCAGCAAAGGATCTTATTCCCAAACAATTTGATGGATGGAGCTGTTTCATAAGAAAGTTGCAGCATACGTCCACCACTTGAGAGAGCTGGAGTAGACATGCTGCAGCCAATAGGCTCTCTATAGTTTCCTCTTTCAGCTCCAAGAGACCTGTGAAGCAAACAAGGAGATCTAGCTAATAGCAAAATGGAAGAGTAGCGATACGATGTGAAGCATTATAATTTGATTCTAAGAGGAACAATTTAAAGACCTTAGATTCATTTTGCTGGGTCCCAACTCTGTCCTCAGAGCCAATTTTGACTCAACACAATTAGTGCAGAAATGATAATATTGAAGAAAAGTGTTTATGTTGAAGTGATAGATCTTTTCGTAATCATCTAATTAAGCACGACTTCTAAACATGTTTTTCCTCCAATTTGGTTATTTTCTGCTTACCTCAACAGGAAATCATGTCATTGCAGCAAGTTATCTGCAGTTGCATTTTGGTTTTTAAAATAGTTTCCACATCCAGTGTTTTGTATCCTCTCAAAATAAATTTGATCACGTAATTAGATCAAAAAACAATCGTGTTAAAAATATTGACAAATTTCTGCATTGCTTCTTCCAATAACTTCAATACCTTCCTGACCTATCACAACAGTTTTGGCCCTGATTCCTCCCCAGTCTCCCCACCCAAGTGCAAACAGACAACATCGCTGTATCACTTTATACCCACAAACACCATCTCAAAAGCTAAAATAAGAATACAAAGTTATATACAGCAAACTAATGATGCACATATCCCACCCTTTTCTCCATTGCTGACACTGGCCACTCCACACTCTCCTACTGGTCCCTCCTGTGACTCTCCACACAGTACAGCCAGCTGTGCATCTTCTGGCCTCCTTGCTTCAGTCCTTCCTGTAGCACTCCCCACTTCTAGTTGCCATAGATCTGATCATGTTGTGAAAAATTAACGAAGAAAAAGGCACCATTAAAGAAAAAGGATGTAACTAGCAAAAATTGATGGACAAACAGAACAAGTCCTGTGATCGGAGAAAGGATTAAAGGGAGGGAGAATAAAAAGATAAAGGCACAGAAAAGGAATCAGATTGAAAATCATTGAAAAGGAACTTGGAACATCTAAGGGTAGCAGAAAGAAATTTTTGAATAATGTTATGGTTCTGGATGAGTTTAGGGGGATGCTGCATTAAGCTTGATCCAATCTAATGATGTCACACAATTTTAGGATGAGAAGAAAGGATTCAGCATACGGTCACCATGACAACAAACCTGACTTTTCAGATTCCTGATAGTCTTGGCAATGTTGCCTAACTAGTCAAAGTAACTTGTTCCTACAGCTATCATTCAATAAATAAGCTCTCTTTGTATAAGTGCTTTTTTTTCACATTAAGACCTAGTAGTGATTTATCCTCCGCAATAGTCCCTTAGACTCAGCATAGAAAAGGGGATTGGGGGGTCGTGTTGCAGACAGGTAACATCCCTACCTCGGAGCTGGAAGGCCGGAGTTCAAGTGCTACTTGTTCAAGAGGTGTGTCATAACATGTTTAAATGGGTTGATTAAACATATCCAGCAAAGAGGATTGGGGTTGTTTAGCTCAGTTAGCCAGATGACTGGAGTATGGTGAGATTAAATCCAAGAGCATTCGTTCAGTCCCCGTACTAGCTGTTATAATTCATAGAGGCCCTGCCCCCCACCCTGCCTCACCTTATGTCATCCTTATCAAATGGTTACACTCAACTGTGGTTTGTACATCACTGGCCAGGCCAGTATTTATTGTCCATCCTTAATTGCACATAGGGTAGTTGAGACTTAACCACATTGCTGTGGGTCTGGAGTTGCATGTAGGACAGACTGGGTAAGGATGGCAGATTTCCTTCCCTAAAGGACATAGTGAACCAGATGGGGTTTTTCCTGACATTCATCAATGGATTCTTAGTCATTAGTATACACTTAATCTGCAATGGTGAGATTTGAACCCAGGATTTCAGAACATTGCTTGGGTGTCTGAATTCGTAATCTAGTGATAATACCACTGGGCCATTGCCTCCCCTAAGATTGGAAGTCTGAATTACCAGAAAAACATAGAAAGTGGGATTGACCAAAGTGACCAGTAATTTCAGGCAGCAGACCGTGGAAGGGATCACAATACCTGAGTTTCTGCCTCTCTTCCATCATTACATTTGTGCTTGGGTGTTCATTGCGAGGGGGCATGCAGTGTCTGCCAACATGATTAAAGCCTTTAGACTGATGGGCACCACAGGGGCTGGAATGCATCATCATTCCAGACAATCACATCTTGATTGGATTTTGGTAAGTTTTCATTCTAGTTTTGTACATTTCTGTTGACTTTTACATTTTGTTTCTATCATAGTGTCCCACCAGTGGCTGTTTAACCATTTAAAGCTCATTTCAGAAAAGAGTAGAAAGAGGAAGTGTTAGGGTGTTGGTTAATGCCAATACCATCCAGAAGCTCCTGACTATGCTAAAGGGACCTGAGAGTGCACAGGGAATTAAGATAGTTCAGGCGTGCGCTGACCTTCCAGATGAAGTGACAGCCATCTGCCCAGAATGTCATTGGCCCCACAGGCCATCCCTTGGGAAGCAACATTTTACAGTCTGAGCTCCTTAGGGAAATTCCCTCTGTCCGTGTCAAAACGGCATGAAGGCACTTCCTGTATGGAATACTGTTGCACATTCTCCACCTCTTCACCTTTGTAATGGCTCAGATACACCTTGGCATAACATTCTACCTTCTGGCAGTGGAAATCCTCAGTAGGGATCTTCATTCTTTGCATAGGGGATCTGAGTGGAGTGTGTTACCTGTGGTAGTCCAATGTAATTGTAGATTAAAACAAGTTCACTGGGTGCCAGACCAATTTTTATGGTCTGGATGAAACAAGGTTTTGCACTCATGTTGAATGTTTTCATTTACATCCCTCTTTAGATCATAGAATCCCTACAGCGTGGGAACTGGCCCTTCGGCCCAACAAGTCCACACCGACCATCAGAGCATCCCACCCAGACCATCCCCCTATAACCCACCTAATCTACACATCCCTGAACACTACAGGCAATTTTAGCATGGGTAATCCACCTAACCTGCACATCTTTGGACTGCGGGAGGAAACCCACGCAGACATGGGGAGAATGTGCAAACTGCACACAGACAGTCACCCGAGGGTGGAATCGAACCCAGGTCCCTGGCGCTGTGAGCCACCGTGCCACCCCTTTTTTTTTAATGTTGTTTCTAATCAAGTGATCATCTAATACCTTCTTAAATGCCTTGATTGCCTCTACCACATTTCCACACGAATGTTCCATGCATTGAACCGTTTGGTTTGTGGTCACCTATCATAGAATCCCTCCAATATGGAAACATCCCATTTGGCCCAACAAGTCCATACCTAATCTCTAAAGAGCATCCCACCCAGATTCACCCCCCTCCTCCCCACCCCCCAATAACCCTGTATTTCCCAGGCTAATTCACCTAAACTGCACAACCCCTGGACATTATGGGCAATTTAGCATGGCCAATTCACCTAACCTGCACATCTTTGGACTGCGGGAGGAAACCAGAAACCTACGCAGACAGGAGGAAGAACGTGCCAACTCCACACAGATAGTTGCCGAGGCTGGAATTAAATCCAGGTCCCTGGCATTAAGAGGCAGCAGTGCTAAACACTGTGCCACCCCACCATGCTTCTTGTTGCCACTTACTTAAAATCTGTGCCTTTCATTTCTCGAATGGTTCAGCAGGCTAAGCAAGCCTTAATCTTAGTTTGTATGTTAACAGCACAGGTCTGTTTGCTGTAATAGGTTTCTTTACAGACAGCCCATGACTCCCAAAGATACTGCTCAGACAATATAACCAAAACCTATCACCATTAAGTGCAACGCCAATCTCAATCTCAATCTCTCCCACCCAGGACCCGGCTTTCATTCATTCATTCAAATGGGGCTGCTTTTACAATTTTGGTTATGCACCAATCCCATGCTCCTAACTGTAGGCACTCTATGTGGAGAGGGCAGATTAAAGATCCAGGGCAGATTAAAGATCCTCCTCATGGTCTTGCTCTCAGATGAGCCAAATTAGTCATCAACAGGCCAAGGCAGAGGGCTGTGCAGCAGGTCATTGTACGTGAGTGTCTGCCTATCTTTCTTGGTTATGTCTGTATTCAGGTATCATTTGACAGAGAGCATGCAGTGTCCACTATGACATTAGAAGAATTCAGAGACTGGTGGCCATCACTAGTGCTGGGTTGCAGTACCACACCTGGTGTGAATGCTTTGACTAAAATTTGATAGTCTTCTGCTTCAGCGCTGTAAGTTTCCATTGACCCTTTGATTTTATTTTCATTCTGATTTGTTTAGAAGAGTAGAAAGGGAGATTGGTGACTGCTCTGCACCAACAATAAGCCACCTGTTGTGGACAGTGCAACATATAAGAGAAACCATTAATAGAACTGAATGATCCACAGCAACTGAGCATCCCCTTCTGATAGATATACCAAGTTCTTGAAAGTCAACAGCAAATGCCTAATGAGTAATCATGTCATAATGTTAGCTTAAGTCTCATATAAAGAACATAAAGCTTCATTTGAGCAACATTCTGGTGGGATCTATGTAAATATGGTTATTTATTACTGCTGAAAGAAAAAGAACATTTCAAGTTCCCTACTTCCAAATTACTATTAATTATTCATCATTTAAATCCAGTACTTTTAACAAAGTCTTTGGATTGGATATACTTGAGTTTAAAAACACAATAATGCTTAATGTAATTATTGACATATTTGGCCATGTGATTAACAAATACTTTTTTTTAACATGGCTACAAATAAGACGTAATGGAAATATATATCACAGTCTTGATCTGTTGTACTTCAACAGAAATGTGAACTTGAGCATTTCATAATTTTCCAAGGCAGGAAGCACAACCATATTAGCAGAGAATTTAAAAAAAAATTCAATTCACACATCCTCCACCTTGAAATATGTTCAGAGTCAAGATAGTTGACTTATATGTACTCTGAAATATTGCTGTATCGAAAATGGAGGTTGACCTCCAGTTGCTACTGAATACATCATAAAGTCTTCTATAAATACTGTTATGGGTCACCTGTGTAAGCATAATGAACAAGTGCTTTCAGTGCATCAGGATCAACACCCTCCATTTTAATTTCTTCTTGTTTGGCCTCACGAACATCATTTGTAAACATGGCAGCAAAGTAGTCTGAAACAGCACTAAGGACAAGCCTGAAAACAATGGAGATGCCATCAGAGATAAGCACAAAACCTTTGTATTAAATGCCACAAAACCAGTGTTTTTGTCAACCTCATTAGTGTGGCACCATACTTTAAAAAAACAACTTAGATCAAATATTTTTATATGACCATGTATAGCAGTTATCAAATCTTTAGTCCAGGAAAATAATGAAAACTAATTAACTACATTTAATGAACTTACATTGAGCTGTCTAAATTTCATATTAGCCAATACATAATGCATAGTAAGTTAAGCAGCAAAATATAAAACACTGACACTTAGATTGATAATTGCCACCAATTAATTAATGGAATCCATGAACACACAAATTAAAATTTTGTCCAGCAACACGTGGTTTCAGAGGAAGTACTAATTCTGTAAATGTCAAGAAATTTTACTTTGTTTTTAGTTTTTAATGAGATCAAATTTGTTCAGCAGATACGGGATTTAAACATTGATTAGGCTTTGTTTAAGCCTTGGCTTCTTGAGCATTAAGCCAAAAGCCTTTAATCACCACCATCTGGCACTTCCAAAAGTTCACAACAGGGACTCAGGAGAAACAAGGACAGTGATTTAATGTTTAATTCCTGTTGTTCAGCTTCGACCCCTATTTGTATGAAGTTATAATTTTAACAGACTGCATTGTTGATTTATTAAGAACTACAAAAATGAAATCACATTAAATTCCTTTACTCTAGGGAGTTCTAAATGTACTGAAACAATCTTACCCTTATCATAATTTATTTGTTAAAAGTCATTCTTAGTGGCAAAAAGATACATTGGTATTTTATCAAATGCATGACAAGCAAAGAGGTTGTCATGCTAAATAATCATATCCCACAATTAGGATGTTTTCTTTCCACAATATTACACCTCTTTGTTTCTTCCTTTTTTATAACAACACTGATGTTGATAGAAATTCGTGATACAAGGATCTAACTTGATATCTCATTAGTACCTTATACGAGGGCAATTAGAAATGAGAAACAAATGTTGGTTTTGACAATGACACTCTCAAACTAAAATAATGGAAAAAGACATATGAATATATACCATTGGAGGAATATTTGAATTCCTTTATTTCCATTGGCAGTGCTCTAAATTGATTTCTGACTTGCCAATCATATCATGGTCAACGTTTTGATGAAGGGTCACCGGACCCGAAACATTAATTCTAATTTCTCTTCACAGATGCTGTCAGACCTACTGAGCTTTTACAGCAACTTCTGTTTTTGTTTCTGATTTACAGCGTCCATAGTTCTTTCAGTTTTTATTGCCAATCATATCATGCCAGATTACTCTTCATTTTTATTTCCTACCTATTTAATTCAAATTTTAATAGACAAAAATTAGCTAGGTTGTGGATTAAAATGAGACTGCGGCAAAATCTAAATAAGTTGGTAGATCTGCCCACTTCAAAACATTATCATTAAGTAGCTTAGTGAAATTGTTCAAAGCGAACCAATTCAGACTTTGTCAAGTGAACATCACAGCTGATTCCACAAGACTTCAAATACAATGTAATTCACTATCACTGATAGTATAAGTCTTAAGAAACACTGAAATATACAGTGAATTTTACCGATGAGCAGGAATCTTGAGATCCCCTGCAATCAGAAGAACATCACACAGTTGCTTGTGCTGGAGGTAGTTCTCCATTTTCCGAAATGTCTGCTCTGCATGATTCGTTGACTGGAAGAACTCATCTGAACTACCGGAACTCATCCTATTAGGGGAGCAGCTGTTCAATGACAACCTGCAGGTAGAGGAAAAGAAAGCAGATTGCTAATGACCACTGGAAACCAAACCTACAGCCATAAATACATTTCACACCTAAAATGTGCTTCAGAAAGTTGCTGTGAAAATTAATACTTAGCCAGTCTCAATTAATATAAAATAAGCTAACAAAACGCTGCAGCACTTTGGATCTCTCTTTGTTACAACACAAAAAGCAGCTAACCAATTATAAGAACACCACGATTTATGAGATATTTTAGTAGTTCCATCAGCTTTTATTCTGTACAAAAGTGGGCCCAGAGATGAGAAACTTCAGTTATAAAGGTAGTTTGGAGAAGTTGAGACTATTTTTCATGGAGTTGAGAAAGCAAAGAGGAGATTTGATAGAGGTTTTTAAAATAGTAAAGGGGCTGGACAGAGTAGATGGAGACAAACTGTTCCTAATCATGAAAGGATCAAAAACAAGGGGTGGAATTCTATTGATTCAAGGGGGATAGCCTTCATTCAGAGGTTTCCAGCACAGTAAGTCATGGCCAGCTTCCAATACCAGTCCAGGACCTGCTCAGAGTAGTCGGAATCAGGATCTAGTCCTCAAATGGCTTGGTGGGAAGGCCACCATATATCTTGACATTTTATGCCCTGTTGTGGATTGTTTTGCTCCTGAAGTGAGACAGCGGCTGTTATAATAGGAGATGAAAATGGGTGGCACAGATATTTCTATTAAACAGGTGGGGAAGTGTCCCAAGTAGGTGAGGAGGCAGTGCAGAAAGTAAGCAGAGTTAGAGGTGTTAGAGATGGGTGGGTGACAATGAATGGGGAAGACATTACAAGCAAGAATGAGAGAGATACAGCATGGGTCTCATTGAGAGGCTGGTACAGTAGCAGAGACAGAGTGGGTGTAAAGTATCAGAGAGAACATGGTGACAGTTACAATAGCAGAGTGAAGAAGGACATTGACCTTCTCCCTACAGTGCTGAGCATTTCTCCAGAGAGCTGAGGTTTCTTCAACCTGGGTGGTATCATCAGGCCAAGCTGGAATTGGTCTGGTATCATGGCTTGCATAGATGGTCCAGGCTAAAGAGGTGTTCCCACCTGTGTAGTATCCCTACCAGCAGGACCCAGTCCTGAAATTGGTGCACTGATTTCACACTTTCTGCTATGTCCAGGGCAAATGTCAGTACTCTTGCGGGGCATCACTGGACTGACAGTGCTTGTCCAGGTGCTCAACATCACCTGCATCCAAATGATGCTCATAAATTTCAGGACATCTGCTGAGCGGTGAGTTGTTCCAAGAACTTTTTAGATGGCACCAGCACGGTAGGTAGTGTTCAGGCTCCTCAGAGCACATCGTCTCCAGGCCAGCGGCATTGTTTTCTCTATGAATTTTTAGTCTCCTTTTTTTCTTCCTTTTTTCTTCATCTTTGAGGCTGGAGAGGTGTCAGCGGTATGGTGGCTGCAGTGTCGGTGGCAGAGGGACAGGGACTCCTGCGGTGATGCAGTGACTGGAGCCTGGACTGGTGTAGGCCCAGAGCCTGGTCTCTTGATGGCGATGGTGCCCAGGGTGAGGGCTCCCGGCAGCAGTCCCGGACTCTCTGTGGTGGCGATGCCCAAGTGAGGACTCCTGGTAGCAATAAGTCTGGAACCTGGACTCTTGGCAGTGTCGGCCAGATGGCAGGAGCAGCAGAGCTGGGCTCTCTCTCTCACCACGCACGTCATCATTACTGATCTTGAAGTGGGACTCCTTGAGGACCGGAACAGCTTGCAGAGACCTTGCAGAAGCCCTGAAGCCATGCTTAAGACCCCAGTTTAAACAGAAGATGAGCTGTTAGTTAAATAATTTATTTTTATCCTTATTATACCTCAAAATGACTCCAGACTGTGGTGAAAAAACACTTTTCGCTTCAAGTTATATGTAAACAATAAATAAATCATTAAATCATTCGAATGGCACATGGAAAGATGGAGCAGAAATCAGTCATGAAAGAGATGCCATAAGGGAGTGGTAGCTAGGTTAGTTTGGTAAGATACACTGTGAAAATTCATTAGATCCTGTGGTGTAAAACCTGCCAAAAAACTCAATGCAACTTGAAATCAGTGAGAAGTAAAATGTAACGTTCAGCCCAAGATGGCACAGATTTAAAGTAATTTGTAAAAGAATCAAATGCGATCTGAGCAGAAACTGTTTTAGACGGCAAATTTGATCTGGAGTGCAGTGCTTGGAAATAAGGTGGTGGTAGATTCAATTGAAGTCATTCAAGAAGGCATTCGATGATTAGTTGAGGACAAAGGCGCTCAGCTGTAATGATCATTCAGACAGCTGGGCACAAACACAATGGCCTCCTTTCACACTGTAACAATTCTGCAATTGGAGCCATATAGTCATAGAGATGCACAGCATGGAAACAGACCCTTCAGCCCAATTCATCCATGCCAACCAGACATCCTAAATTAATCTTGTCCCATTTACCAGCATTTGGCTCATATGCCTCTAAACCCTTCCTATTCATATACCTCTGTGAAGCCTGTTGAAGTAATTATTTTAGAAATGTTAAAAAGAACGGTCATGAGAAAACTTATGCTGGTAAGTTTGAGAAATGCAACTCATTATTGGGTTCTGGATGCTTCATAAATTACAATATTACTAAAATAACAAGATGCAGTCCTTCACTTGAAATAAGCTTTTCCAGATCACATATTATACCGTCTACTTCTATAGATAATTCTTAGCTTGCAAATAGTTTATGGTCCTGCTGCTGAACTGGAATTATTAGCTTTAAATATGTAACTAAGAAAGGTAGCAAGTATCAGACATGTATGTTATTAAAAGCTGAATTCTATCTTTTGCACAAATCAGGAAAAATATGGTAAATGTGTGCATAAAAACTCAAATTAAATGATTACTGAGCAATTTACGATTATAGGTTGCATAAACATAGCTTGAATTTAGAAAGTTGAGGTGTAATCTAATCAATGTATTTTAAATGATCCAGGCAAACGATAGTGTAGATGCTGATAAAGTATTTGGTTTGATGGAGGAATCCAGAACTAAGGGACATGACTTTAAAATTAATATTAGGCCAAATCAGGAAGCATATTTTAAATAAAGTTTTAATGGATATCTGAAGTCCCAAAAGTTGTGGATTGTGGGTTAAGTTATATTTTCAAAACTAGTATCAATGTTTTTGTTTGTTAGGAAAGGTTATTGAGGGATTTGAGGTAACTAAATTCAATTGAGGAACAGCTCATAGTGTGATCTAATTGAATGAGAAAACAGATGTGGGGTTGAAAGGCTTATTCTCATTGCTATAGTTTAAAGATTATATCAAATGTACTGAATATTGTTGAAAATAAATCACTTCGGCAAGTAACAGTTGTCCAATGGAAGACAAAGATATATTCCTGTCTCAGATTTATTTTGGTAATCGCTAAAAAAGTTTCAAGCTTGTTTTGTTTTCTATTATAACAATTGTTCTGCAAAACAATAGGCACTTGGCAAGTGCCAAGTGATCACGTTAAATATAAATTTTCTGTACGCTTTGTTCAAACATGTTTGATTGGCTTTTCATAACTCCACAGACAAATATTTAATTATAATATAGTCCCAGCAACTGTGAAAGTTTAATCATCATCCTGACTTTAGCCAGATTAGAGTCTGCCTGGAACCTCTAAGGAGAATTAGTTAAGCCACAAAAAATTTGCAATAATGGAAAAAAGGCCATTAGTTTTCCATATAAATTCCTATTATGGTTTTCTAATAGCTGGCATTAAATAAGCTTAGCGCATAATAGAATGTCATCTTACTTTATTATGCGATAGTTGACCGATAGTAAAGAACTTAATTGCTGTAAAAAAGTGAACATGTGGACATTTTTCATCTCATCAGGAGAGATGCAAGAATGCTAACATTCAACAATTTATACTGTATGAGAAAAGGGTCATTATTAGCTGAGAGCCAACTCTGATTGGTTAAGCCATTTCCATTGAGGATGTATCAGGAAACTATTGTCACCCATGATTTCATTTAACTAAAAAGTAACACACAACTTGGACATGTTCTTTAGGCTTACAATGGACAGGGTCTTACATATGAATATATGTAGCATCAAGCAAGTGTATATGAGACACATTGCAATCCCTACTGCTAATTGTAATTTGTTTGTTATTGTAATTCTGAGCAAATTCATGAATTTTAGCAAGTCTTGTCAATCAAGGAATCCAATGTAATATGAGAGACGATATTTGATTTTTTTTTCATCACCCTTTCCTTTAAATTTTAGTGCTGGGTTTGTCCTGATACTTTTAGCTTTGCACACAAAACTATCAGCAATATTTCTTTTGCTTCAGCCACATTCTACTATTTACTTTTTCCATTTCTGGAAGTTAACAGTTGAATCCAGCAAAATATCCAGTGATGTATGTTCTTGTCATACTCTAAAGACACATCTAAAACACGTGCTGTAATCAATGATTTCAACTATTTGGTAAAGGGTCATTTACCACAAGAAGATCATGCCCAGAATCAAAGTGAAAAGTTTGATAGGATCTAATTTATTCAAATTGTAGCAATTCCGGATTCAATATTTTGATTAGAATACAATATCTGTCTCTATAAAATACTGTTCTGTCCTTCTTTAGTAGTGCCAGTACTTTGATTATAATGTTTTAGTATGTAAAAAAGAAATAAAAATTTTGAAATACAACCTCACATTTGGAAAGTCTCCTCCTTAACTCATATTTTCCATGAACTGATGTACACTCAATTATTCACTTATTTCATTGCTTTCATCACAGCTTTCTCACAGTTTAAATTTGGAAACTTCGATAAATTTAGACTTACGTACACAATATGACAGAACTCCAAAAAAAATCAGAATGAGTTTTATAATAGTTCATTCATAAAGAATTCTGATCTAACAGTACAATTGCTATGTTCGTAATGAAATGTTATTCACTCCAGTGTGTGTATAGTGTCTAATTCATGTACAATATTCTACATAGTTAACATTATCATTGTTACCC